AGGACTCCAACCACGGTCGACTTACATGGGAGTCCAGCGACATAGCCATTATGTCATCTGGTGGGCCCGACCCTTGTTTTAATTTTTTTAAATTTTTATTTTGTGTCAGAAGGCACATGTGCATGAGAGAGAAAACACCCCACAAGGTTGAGTCACACCATAATTTTTTTTCTCCAGCTCTCCATTCTGTCAGGATTATGTGCAGTTGTGCACACCTTACATGTTTTCTAAACTTCTGAGGCTAGAACTAGAACCCTGGTCAGCCATGTGGGATCCAGCTTCCTCTGTGTAGCACTTAACCATTGTGCTATAGGGCTGGCCCCATGTTCTTCTTTGTGTCCACATATTTTTCTGCAACTACACATGATTACATTTGTTTTTATGTTTGACTCTACTACAAGACAGCAATCAACTTGAGAATAGAGACCTCTTATTTTTATTCAATTAGTGAAAATTTACTGAACATGTAGTATATATGCATATTAGAAAACGAACAAAGATGAGTAAGACAATTCTCTTACCTTCAAAGAGCTTGCAGTTTTGTGGGAGACAGGAAATTACTATATTGAGTAACAGAGATCAGCATATACTAAAATACAGAAGGGCACAGAATTAAAACTGGGAAGCTAGGAATATTTCCCAGAAATTGATTGAGTTGTATTTGAAGGAGAAGAAAGCATTTCGTTAATTTTATTTTAATCACATGAAAGAATTTCAAACCCTCTGTTCTGTGGCTGTGTCTGCTGGCCATAGAACCATAGCCAGGCATTATAAACTAGAAGGTTTAGATCAAATGGACCATTTCTGAGCCTGGATATTGGGGGAAGCAAGCACATCTTTTTTTTTTTTTTATAGCTGAAAGTCATAATTTAGAGCATTCATTGGAATATACAAATCACTGATTCAGCAGGGTTTAGCTGAATGTCCTTAAATGAACACTCAAAAGAGCTTAAAGGCCGTCTCTCAATATTTTCACCATAAGTCATACTCTATCCAGTTGTACTAATATTTTTATGTCCCACATGAAAGATCAAAAACAAAGTGGTGTCAGTGCAAGTATGTCAGTATGGGTTTGGGACCCAAGGACTAGTATTTTAAAAAATAATTTTTGGGGAGACCAGCAGATGGTATAATTGTTATGTTGCTGGACTCTCATGTAATTGACCATGGTTTGAGTCCTGGACCCAGCAGCTTGAAGCTCACACCAGGCACATGTACATGCATGCCCAAAATCCCAAGAGGAGAATAAAGGAGAAGGGATTGTGCTGTGGCCATCCTCCCTGGAGGGTGATTTCTTGCTATCTGTCTCTCTCTCCAGTGAGCACACATGCCCTATAGCAAAAATCACTCTAAAAACAACAAAAGACTAAAAATAATTTTTTATGTTGTTTTTTGGCCAGAGCCAGCCTGTGTCCTGGACCAGCCACTTGAAAGCCACACAGGGAGTGTGTTCATGTGTGCCGAAAATCCTGAGAGGAGAATGGGATGGCTGGTCCAGGACTTAAACTGTGTGGTTGAGTCTAGCTGCCTTAACCTCCATATCACTAGCTGGCCCAGGATTGACTCTCTATATCAGCATCCTATTACAGTTGATCTCACCCTTTCTAAGAATTCAGAATAACCCATTTAAATCAAGATCTGATATGAACATTTTGGTTCCAAGTGCATCCTTTCTAAAAAAATTTCAGTACAGGGAACCAGCAGTTAGTGTAATGGCTATGTTGCTGGACTCCCACAGTCAACTGCGGTTCGCGTCCTGGACCCGGCGGCTTAAAACTCACTCAGGGTGCGTGGGCGTGCGTGCCC